AATATAGTATTCCCATCTTCATTAAACAGATGACTAAACAGTTTTTTAGATTGTGGTAGAGTAGGAATGTTTGTGGCTATGTTGGACTTTTGGTTGGGATGATCAAAGTTGTGATTTGCCGGATAGTTGGCCGGAAAACCAGAGAATTCCGGCAACTTTCTCACTCTAGCCATATATTATATATATATATATATATATATATATATATATATATATATATATATATATATATATATATATATATATTCATGTACATACGTGATGAATGATTCGACAAGTCTAACGCAAGGGTATAGACCTGGAAATCATCGGCCGAAACCTTACGGAGGAGCGGGAGTGGAAACAACATCAAAATTCACCAACTTTGTCATTCTCGTCACAATTGGACAGCCTGCCGTACTATGGGCATATCTTCATCGTTTCTTCACGGAATTGCAAACCATTTGATTCTGTGGATTCCTAAGATGTAAGGCTATAACTTTACTATAGAAAGTATTTCGAGTTATTGTTAGAATAGGTGCCCTTCACTAGAGGGGGGGTGAATAGTGAGGCACGAGAATGTATATAAATTTTCGCAGACTAAAAATCGCAGGGATAAAGTAAAGAGCGGAAAAAAAAGGAGTAAAGAGAGCACACCAAGATTTATACTGGTTCACCACAAAGTGTGGCTAGTCCAGTCTCCCGAGAGACTCTCTCGAGCTACACTACTTCCGTTAAGCTTACGGGTGCTTAACAAACCGTTACAACCTGAGAGCTCGAGTCCCACGAGCCTCAATACACTTGCTCTGAGATACCGCACTCCAAGACTTCAACCCGAAGGAATATGCCCTTCCTTCGTACAACCAAGGGAACAAACCTCTCTTAAAGTGTTCACAACACTTAACCACTCAAGAACAAAAACTCTCTTAAAGAGTAGAATATGAGTAAACTAATTTAGATCAAGAACACACTCAATTCCTCAAGAAATGGCTCTAAAAATCTATGTAAAAAGTTTATGGAATGAAGCAATGTAAAGATATGAAATGTGTGAGGAATGGTTGTAAAAAGTAGACCCAAGAGACCCCTTTTTATACCCAAAAACAAGGTGCAACGGTTGGGAGAAGATTGGGGTTGATTGGCTTGATTTGTGGAAATCAAATAAAAGTGGATCTACTGAAATCTAGCCCGACAGCGCTGTTCATGTAGTGAACATCGTTGTTTTGGCTTTGACTTTCTTTTTAAAATGGCTAACGGTCATCAAAACATCGATGTCTAAAAGTCTACATCGATGTTGGGGTGTTTGACTTTCAAAAATGGAAAGATTTTGTCTTAAATAGCCCAACGGTCATTTGAAATCATCGCTATTCAACAATGAACATCGTTGTTCAAAAACCTACTGCCCAAGACTAACGTGAGCCAATCTGGCCAAAACATAGATGTTCAAATCTCAACATCGCTATTCAGACATAGATGTTCAAATCCCAACATCGTTGTCCAGACATCTATGTTCAAGATCCTACATCTATGTTGGGCCTGGTCTCCAGAACCATGGTTTGACAGCCAATGCCGAAAACCGATGTCAAAAACCAAAGTTCTCCAAAATGAAAACCAAGTGTTGGAAACTCTTATATAATGTATTTAATGTAGAAACCAAGTATAAAAACTTAAAAACTACTTCATTGAGGTAAAAATCACGGCTAGCCAAGTTTATGCCGTTTCACATGGTTTTCACCAAATGACCAAAAACGAAAGGTGGTTTTTCACATGTTTTTGTTGGAGAACCACTTGGATATGCCCAGAAGTAAAAACCAATCATAAAATCTTAAAAACCACTTTTGATTTGGACGCCAAAAACCAATGCCGATAACCAACGCCGAATGCCGATAACCAACGCCGAAAAAAACAAAGGTTATGGTTTTTGAAAACTAATGATTTGGAAAACCTTTTAATGTGTCCTGAAGCTTAAACCAAGGATAAAAACCCAAAAACCATTTGGTTAAAATCAATGCCAATAACCAATGCCGAAAACCGAACGCCACAGCCGAACGCTGATAACCGATGGTTATGGTTTTGGTTTAGCAAGAACCATGGGTTTTAGAAACTTAAAAACCATTTATGAAAACACTCATTTGATGCATGAAAAACATATTTTGTTTTGAGCCATGACGTAGAGAAATTGAATGAGCTTGTTACAATAAAAACCTAAGTATTTAGAATACGTCTTCAAAGCGCCGATGTCGCCATCTTTAGCAGCGTCAATGCCTTTCTTGTGCTTTTTGTTTCTTCAAAGAACTTTTTATATCTCTTTGAATCTTTTCATTTTGTTCCATGTTCCTGACGGTTTGACAATATCAAAACCTAAACGGAAACAAACATTGTCATTAGCAAAATGTCAAAGTGAAAATGTTTTCCAACAATTTCCCCCTTTTTGATAATGACAAACCAAGGAGGGGATATGCAGGCCAAGTTGGGTTTTCAAAGAGAGAGTAATGGTAATTCCCCCTATGTCTTTGAAAACAAGATTCCCCCTCACTTGTTGCATAAACCCAAACACTTCCCCCTTTTGGCATTAGCAAAAATCACTAAGTAAAGTTTACAAAAAAAGGTACTCCCTGAGCATTGATGTTTGATACAAAACATCATTGTTGTATGTTCCCCCTGAAACTGATACTATGTTTATAGCAAAAAACAATTCCCCCCAAACTCCCCTTGATGCAAATCATTAGGTTTCGTGCTTGGAGCATCCATTACAAAAATGTAGTCTTCAAAGACACCTACATATGCATCTAAAAATAATTTTTAGGTACCCAAAAACGTTTGGGTCCTTGAGGTTTAGGCAAATACTAATCATAGCTATAAAACAAATCCCTGTGTTTGGTAAAAGAAATGGGTGCTATGTGTCCTATCTTAGAGAAATAATGGCAAACTACATTTGGATTATGCATATGCCTAGGTTGAGCCAAAAATTTTCTAGGTGATCTAAAGTCATTATTCCTAGAGTTATTAATTAAGTTCCTATACTCATTTCTAGGTTGTCTCAAATTATTTTTATCATTTATAAAAATCTTAGTCATTTTTAGGTTGTCTCAACTTATTCTTTTTATTCTTTCTAAAATTAATTTTGTTATTCCTAGGATTATTTGTTTTTCTAGGTGGTTTATCATTCTTAACTTCTTCACCAAGTTTCTTAGGCTCTTCTACCTTAAGTTTTTCTATGGTGCTCTTAAGTTCTACATTCTCTATTTTTAAAGATTCACAAGAGGAACAAGTAGAACTTTGGTCAAAGGAAGAAGCTTCGTTCATTGCCTTAATCTTATTTTTAAGGTCAGGATTATCATTTTCTAAAAATTTATTTTCTTCTTCTAAAGCATGAAGTTTAGCCTTAGCCTCTTTGGCAATTTTTGAAGCTTTCTTGAATTCACCAAATAGTTCTTTAAAAGCTTCTTGTAATTCTTCAAAAGAATGAGAGTTAGAAGTACTTACCTTTTCTTTTTCATTGGCCATGAGACAAATATGGGTTACTTCTTTTTCTCCTTGTAGAGTTTCGTATTTCTCACGCATGCCATCCCATAGATTCTTAGCCGTTTGATATCCGGAGAACTTTTGAATTTCTTGCGCGTCAATTGCACAAAGTAGAAGGTTAAGAGCTTTTGCATCTTTTTCCACCTTCTTGATATCCTCTTCATTGTATTCCTCCTCGAGTTTCTTTACTTTTTTCTTGCCCGCCTTCTTCGTTGGGAGAGAAACTCCGTTGTTGATTGCCATCCATAGTGTGTAATCAATGGATTGAATGAAGATTCTCATTCTATCTTTCCAATAAGAGTAATTTACTCCATTAAAGAGTGGTGGCCTTGTTAAAGAGTGTCCTTCGCTAAAAGATCCTGCGCTTAACATTCTCAAAAGAAATATAGATCGTTCTCTCAACCCATTAAAGGTTTTAGAGAGTTAGGCTCCGATACCAATTGTTAGAATAGGTGCCCTTCAGTAGAGGGGGGGGTGAATAGTGAGGTACGAGAATGTTTATAAATTTTCGCAGAATAAAAATCGTAGGGATAAAGTAAAGAGCGGAATAAAAAGGAGTAAAGAGAGCACACCAAGATTTATACTGGTTCACCACAAAGTGTGGCTAGTCCAGTCTCCCGAGAGACTCTCTCGAGCTACACTACTTCCGTTAAGCTTACGGGTGCTTAACAAACCGTTACAACCTGAGAGCTCGAGTCCCACGAGCCTCAATACACTTGCTCTGAGATACCGCACTCCAAGACTTCAACTCGAAGGAATATGCCCTTCCTTCGTACAACCAAGGGAACAAACCTCCCTTAAAGTGTTCACAACACTTAACCACTCAAAAACAAAAACTCTCTTAAAGAGTAGAATATGAGTAAACTAATTTAGATCAATTAATTATTTTGGTTCCATTAATATGATTTTGTGTATAGAAAATATCTATAATATTTTCTAAATATTATTAGAAATATTTTCTATAGAAATATACAAGATTATTATTATCCCAATTTTAATCATTATATTTTATACTACTATAATCTTTACTAGCAAAATGATTGTGGTAGACTCCGGCGTTGTTCGTGTGTCAAAGTTGGAGACCGGACGCTTGAACGGTTACGTTTGCACTTTCAACGCTCTTCATACGACTTCTTCGTTTTTACCACTTACGGAGAAAGGTACAAATTTCTTACTACTATAAGTTTTAGTACGTGATTCTGGGCAAGATAATCATGTTAGGATGTTAAAATTTTTATATTCCGCTGCCTATCCTTGCATGGTTACCTTTCAGTGGTATCGGAGCCAACGTACAAAACTATAGTTTTACGTTTGACTTTTAAAATTTTAAAAGTCAAAGTTTTAACTTGGTAATTATTAAAATTCAAAAATTGGTAAAATGATTTTATTTAGTCTTGGAATAAGTATTGGACTTAAATAAATCATTGAAAATGAATTTTAAATTTATTTATTTTATTTCTACCCGTAATATATATATAAA